TAGGTCTTCTACCCTAATTATTTGATTGAAGAAAAGTTTAACCCACCTATTTTATCACCCACAGGCTTGACTTTGCCTCAGAGGACTTGCTGCAGTTTGGGTCCAAAATTAAATTCAGTTCACAAATTTTCTTTCACTTTGACTCTGTCTTTGGCTCAGTTTTACAAGGGACTTTTTTATTTGGCTAAATCTGGCAAATACTTTTTTGGATTACAAGCGCAAATATGCTAACACTATCTTGTAAAATACTGCCACCTACTGGTGAAGACAAGTCACAAGTTTGTCACATGGCTACCACAGACAGCCATGCATTCACAAAGTCAGACGTATGGCCAATTGAGAATTGCCAAGTAACCTAACAAGCATGCGTCTAGACTGTGGGGGGTAACAGGAGAGAACCTGTGTATAGGGGAGAACATGCAAACTTTATAACACTAACTTTATACAGAAAAGCCTCAGCCTGTGGATTCAAACTAAGTAAAAAATCTCACCTGCCTGGCTTATCACACTTGTTCTGTTTAATTCAGTTTTGTTATATAGCACCACCTCACAAAAACAGTTGCTGCAAACAGTTGCGCTTTGTATTGTAGGGAAAGACCATATAATAATAGAAAGAAACCTCAACTATCAGATGTACCCTTATGAGCAAGCGCTTGCAGACAGTGGAAAGAAAACTCCCTTTTAAGAGGAAGAAAAGTTCAACAGAACTAGTCTAATGAAGTCTGCCTTGTTGGGGTGGGAGAAAGAGAAGAGCGTCATATAACAGATAGTGTGTAATCACACTGAGAATGTTAAGAGGTGAGCGGAAAAAAAATATTCAGTGCATAGATGACTTAGACTATTAGCATAACTGAAGTATGGTTCAAGATCACCTGATCCAGCCCTAACTGTAAGCTTATTCAGTAATGCAGTAGGAGACACAAAAGTGGCAACACTTTTGACACACAATTCTGCATTAGTTAAGTATTACTAAGTGCTTAATTTATCATTATTTAAAGCATTACTACTCCTTAGTATGTAATTTACAAATACAGATGGTTGGGTCTGCGCTTTCACAGGCCCCAGTTCAGAAACGTATTCCCGTTAACAAAGCAAGACAAACAGCTCAACCAGTTTTTCACATGCTAGCAAGGGAAGGATCTCAGAGCAGCCCTTCTGCCCTCGGTGTTAGACCACTTTGAAGAACCATCTCTCCTGCAGCCTTTTATTTCTGTGACACACAGTTTACACAAACACCCACTGTAAAACCCCCTATGGTTATAAAAGACAAGGCACTAGGTGTGTGTGTGTGTGTGTGTGTGTGTGTGTGTGTGTGTGTGTGTGTGTGTGTGTGTGTGTGTGTGTTTGGGGATGCGTTTGTGTGACCTCCTGCTCACCAAAAGGGTCAAAAGGGCAGAAAGCTTACTAAACAAGAAAACAGAGCCCTCACATAGGATGTGTCTCTATAATAAACACTACAGCCTCCCCCTCCATTCAACAGGCTGGGGAGGGGGACAGAAAAAAGGAATGTCTTGGATCATACAGTTTGAACCAAGACTTACAAATTTAAGTACAATAATGGCAACATTTAACCATTTGACTCCAACACAGATATAAATATTTCGTTTGGTTTATAAGCTTAAATACAGCATGTTTTGGTATGTGTTTTTTGATGACCTTAGCCATATTTTATTTTAAACGAAGAAGCCTTAGTATAATTATGTTAAAGTACCCTATAGCTCTAACGACTTCATATCTTTCTCTCGTAAGCCCCTTTTTTCAAACTTCGACTGTGGGCCTAGCTACATTTGTTCTTCAAATCTCAGGTGTGCTATGTTTGCATCTAGCAATACATTTGTATGTTGTGTATCTCTTTGTGCTTTGTCTGTATCACTTTTCTGTTGTGAAGATAGCTGAGACTTGTTCAACTCTTGAGGTACTTTCATTTACTTTTATAAATGCTTTATAAGGCAAAAATAGTCCTCACTTTAGATGAGGTCACAAAATACTTAACAACTAGTAACTGTCTCCGATTACTGTTTGTGATGCAATGAACATATTACTTATCTGTTCTCATAAACTGCATACTAAAAAACTGCATACGATGACCTGGATGACTGAGAACCTTCACATGCATACTAATGCTTTATAAATAATGAATTAAAATGGCCTGCATTTGTATAGCGCTTTACTCAGCCCCTAAGGACCCCAAAGCGCTTCACACTACATTCACACACTGGTGATGGCAAGCTACATTGTAGCCACAGCCACCCTGGGCGCACTGACAGAGGCGAGGCTGCCGGACACTGGCGCCACCGGGCCCTCTGACCACCACCAGTATTAAGTACTTACTGATACCTTACTAATGCTTAAGAGTCATTATGTGTGTGTTACCAAAAAGTGTCATGCTGAAGGACCTTTACTGAGAAAGAGGTATACATTTAATAACTAGTTTTGAACAGTGCTGATAACTGGAAGTGTTTGTTTTGGAAAGTTACCACATTTACCAAAGGAAGTCACTGCAGCTGCGATAAAATGGATAGGGATCAGTCAGTGCAAACCACATAAAAGGGTTTGCTACACAGTTCCATAGTGACAGAACGAATATCTTTCTGCCAAGATGTATGCTTTGCACCAATTTATGCTAATTCATGTTTTGACGTGCCTTGGACAAAATGGTAAGCCACACTATACAAATACTTTTAGCCATCTGCAAGCTGAATATTGACACTTTTAACTCATTTTGATTATCTTCTGATGTCTTTAGCACTTGGAAGTGAAATTATAAATGGGGAAAAAGCTCCCGAGAACTCACTGTTGTATATGGCCTCGGTGCAGAACAACTATGGCCACAGTTGTGGAGGTTTTCTTGTAAGTGAGGACTTTGTGGTCACTGCTGCACACTGTGATGAAGGGTAAGTAATCAATCCTGCAGGTAATTTGTGGTCATGTGATAAGAAATCATTTCAGAAGTTCCTATTAATATTAATATGCAACACTTTTCACCTGCTGCACAATGTATGTCACAATTTCTCCCTTAAAATTATACACACACGCACACAAACACAGATAACCATTACCGTTTAGAAAGCCTACTGATTATCTCTGACTTGCAACTTATTTAGGAATCCAAGGAGAATAGTTCTTGGCACCCACGATCTCAGCAAGCCTGCTGACACCGTGAAAGATGTAATCATGAAATGCATACACCCATATTATATAGGTGTTGGAAATGGGAATGACATCATGCTACTCAAAGTAAGTCGATTTTTTTTTCACTTAATATACAGAAGACATATTTGTGATCTCTAGAACATTTGCATATACAATCTCTTAATCTGTTCCCAGCTTTCTAGTGAAGTCCAACCAAGCAAAAGCATCCAAATTATTAAACTTCCCTCTTCTGAAATAAAGCTAAAGGAAAATGAAAGATGCCTTGTGGCTGGGTGGGGTTTGACAAAAATTGGCGGTCCATTAGTTCACCAGTTGAGAGTAGTGGATGTGTCTGTTATCAGCCCAGAGGTCTGTAGGGAGAACTGGCCGGGTCTTCCGGATGGTCTTATTTGTGCTGGTGGTTATGGCACAAACAAAGGGTTCTGTCAGGTATGTTTTTTTTTAATTTGTTTGATTTTTAAGATTAACTGCTAACTCATGTGTACTTGAAACAGTGTATAAAAAATGTTTTCTCTTGAATAACCCTCAAAGGGTGATTCTGGTGGCCCTCTGATCTGTAATGGTACAGCTGTTGGAGTTGTTTCTTTCAACAAATGGGGCAGATGTGACTACCCGGATGCACCCAATGTTTATGTGGATATCGCAAAACACCTTGACTGGATCAACGAGATTCTCAAGAAAAAGCATTGTTAAGTCTTACATAAATCTTTGCTTTGACACACTGTTATTGTAGTTGTGCGTTTAAATCGCTTTGTGTTTATGTAGATGCAGAATAAATAAATGTTTCAAATATTCTCAGCAGACATGTAATTGTAGCAAAGTTGCTGTAGTGACAATATTATTATGATGTCATTTAGCTCATTTTAACGCAATAAATCACCGGTAAATGATTTAGGGGACGGTAAAAAGGTTCCCCTGGAGTCAGAAACAAAAAAATGCAGTCTTCGCTCAGCATGATGCAGTTATTAGATGAGATGAGATCAGGTTTCAAGGTTGGCTGGGTAGTTTTAAGAGTGCACCCTGGTGCGCACCCTATGACGGCTAGGATAGGCTTGAGCTCTGTAACCCTGGGTTTAACAAGAAATGTAATTGCTCTGAGCGGTTTTTGATATGGGCGACATGGGCGGTTGCCCAGGGCACCCAACAGGCCAGGACATGCTAATGCTAGCTGTGTTTCCATAGATCCTAACTGATCTCAGAGCGGTGAGAGCAGACCAACGGTACTTTGGCTTGTGAGCTGCTCTCCATTCAGCTTACAAACACCAGCGGTTTAGCCACAATTCGCATGCACAAATCACCAGAAAAAGCAAAAAAAAAACTGCTGGACTCTCAGCTTGTCCAGCTCCAGTCATTGTTAAAAGGAGACAGACATACCCAGACACTGTGAGACTGACCCATGCATTTGTGCTTGAAGCGTCACTTATGTCTACGCGGTCATGACATCGCATCATGTGTTGATTGAAGGAAGTGCAGCTTTCAGCAACAATACCTGATTGCGGCCACAGTGGCAGTAATGTAAAGACTGGATGCATACATAATATATGATATATATATATATATAATTGACTGGCAAGGAGCTTTAGTAAAGTGCTGTGTGAAATGAAAGGAGAGTGAAGCCTTAATGTGTTTATTTTTAGACCAGATCTTTTTTTTTACTATTTTGTTCTGATATGTAAAACCTTTGAAAGGAAAGGAGATTTAATTTCTTTTTATCATGAAGATGGATATATGTTTGTTGTCTAATTACAGTAAATCTTAATCTGGGAAAATGTTATTTCTGTGGTTAATCTAGTTGGCTGTAGAGCTCGGAGATAGTGTCATTAGGCTGTATCAAGAGTAAAAAAAAATCAGCAAAAAATCTCAGGTCATTCATCACTTTTTTTGGTTGTTTTTTTCTTTTTGTATAAAATCTAAATTTAAATAAACACACAAAATTAGAGATTATATGTATTTATAAAGGTATAAACCTCCAAAATAATCCACCAACAAGAACAGAATTACACAAGAAGGTGCAATGAGCCTGTCATATATCAAACTGACAAGATAAAGTAAATATTAAACATTGTGTAAATTATTATCCAACAGGGTGTGGGGGGCATGTAAGTGAAGCCAGCTCAGACATTGCTGGTATTAGGACTGTTCGAGTCAAGTTTTGAGGATATACTGACGAGAACTGGGGTACTGGAAAAAGGCTGATAATGTTGAATTAATTCAGTGTTACTGTGCCAACCAACCTGGTAAAAGGAGTTATATGCAATGCATCTGGGAACTATGGTTGAGGAAAAAGCCAACACATTGACCAAGAAACACCACCAGTAGTAGCTCAGTGCATTAACATTAATAGGAGATACCTGCTGTGTGCTTGCCTACCCCTGGGTCACAGCACAATAGGAACAATATTGAGCAATACTGAAATAATGAGCCAACCCTAGTAGAAGAGAGTAGAGGAAATGAACCAGATGAACTTGGCACATGCAATGACAGATGAATATACCAAGCTGAGGATGAAGATTGTGGCCAGGTTAAAGGTAACCACCCAGCCAAGATGATGACGTATAAGAATGTCTGCTGCCCTCTGCTGGCTATAATGAAGAATTAGACAAAGGCAACAGTTGAGCTGTACAAATACAGAAAATTGCATTTGATGGTATATTGATATGGCAAGAGAAAACATAATGTAGTATTTTACAAAACAAAAAAATCTAAGCAACCACATCTTTACTGACTACTGGGAGTAGCACATGCTCTGCAAAGTTTCTTCTTTCCAAAGCTTTGATCGTCTCTTAATTTATTTCTTGTGAATTCTTGTGAATCAACAAATTCATTTAAAAAGCAAAGTACACTTAAACAAAAACAGCTACAGTGAAATACTTCAACATCATCATCATTATTGTCGTCATCGCCATTGCTGTTGTTGTTGGTGTTGATCAAAATATTAACATCATATTTGGTGCTAATAAAGAAGACGGTGGGCGAGATGGACACAGTGACCAGTCCAGTACCTGACAACTGAAAAGTGACCGTGTGTTTATCAGTGCCTTAGTTCAGCAGTCTGTGGTATGGTACAGTAGACACTAAATTGAATTCACTTCAGTTTAAAAAGAAACAAACAGTACTGATGTTATTTTTTTTTTTAACCAGTGAAATTGGTCTACATCATGTAGACAACAAATAAACAATTAACTAATTAATTAGTAAATAAAAATATAAATTTATTAAGTTAATGTAAAACACTATTCACTTGCAATAAACAGAAGTATGGAAGAAATACAGATTAATGTGACAAACTGTGTTGCAATGCAGGCACTGCAAAAGATCTGGAACCACAAAAGATAGCATGATTGACCAAGATATCACAAGCTGCATATTCACACTATAAAAAGGATGTGGTCATAAAGGTCAAGATAAGAATAAAGGTGACAGTGTTCTAGACATGCAAGCAAATGATGACAAATCTAGGATGTAGTGAAAAGAAGTGACGTTGTTATTTTACATTCTGTCAGTGGTCTGCAAGCATTCACTGAATTTAGCTGCTTCATAAAATAACGCATAAAGACATGCTAGAATTAAAGCCTGTATGCTAGCTTTGGTTTTCAAGTCAATAATATTTACTATTTTTGAAATTTTAATTGCATTTTATTCACACTTACCTACAATTAAAGACCAAATTTATGATGGAAGAGGTCAATCTGAAAAATTGCAAATGGTATCCACCCTTATGCAGTATACCGAGTTACAAAAGTCCTTCTAACGTCTTCATGTCTGGGAAACTTACAAAATTACATTTATCATTTTCTTTTTCTTTTTTTTTTTCTTTTTTCTTTTTTTTTCTCTTTTGTCTTTTTCCTTCCAGTGTTTAACCTGACAAATAATAAAGGCTTAGAAACTCTGATTAAAAAAACAAACAAAACAAAACAAACAAAAATAGTAATTATATCCCCTAACCCAATAAAGATAAAGCCTCTGCTTCTACTGACTCTTAATGCTGTCACAGTGTTATTCAATATCTTAGAGAAGTTAAGGTCAGACTCAGTGTAGCCAACTTTATTAACATTTATCAATTTTCTACTAAATACAGCCAAAATGTCATAACTGTGAGTTTGGGAAAGCACATTGAAGTTCAAATCTTATCTGGTTTGTGGTTTTTGTGGTTCATCTAGTTTGCTGCTGAAGATTATGCAAAAGTTGTCAAAAGTTTCCAAAGCAAAGTATCATGGTTTTACATCAGCCTTCTTGAACTTTAGCTCACTAAATGAATCTAAATCTGTTATTGCAAGTAAGATATTCTCACAAAATGCGTGTGGGTTCGTTTATTACAACAAGCCTGGAGTAAACACCTGAAAAAAATAAGAGTGAGAGCTAAACAGCTTTTAAAATTCACTGGGGTTTGTACATTGCTTATTTAAGTGTCCAATAAAGTGTTATCTATGCAGAATAGTGTAAACCTGCAAAATTTAATTACCAACTGGATTACTAGTTATGAGCTGAAAATAAGTGAGAAGTGTCTGATATGACACCAAGTGTTTACTGGATAAAAATTGTGTTTTTCTCATTCGGTTGGCAGTAAATAATAAAGAAATAAGATTTATTGAGTGAAAATAGCTTTTCACTTCACAGCAGTTGACTCTAATAATAAATTAAATACTAGTTCAAACAAATTGCTGTCTAAATATATTTCATTTATGATGCTGTTTTTACCTTTATGGAACCGGATGATATTTGCTGTTAATCTACTAATTGTTTTAAGTAGTGCATCTTTCTGTAACTGAATTAGTTGATATAACATGTAATGGTCCTAAAGATCTTTGAAGATAGATAACGTATTAAGACATAAATTCAAACTGAGTCTACTATTTAACTTTAATGGCCCAACTCGTTACAACTTATATGGTACTCTTGGAATCCTAGAGTATACAATGAATGAACAAACGCATTCAAGTTGAGCCAGCTATTTATCTACAAGCAGTCATCTGGTTTTATTTTGTAAAACCAAGAGGAAGACACATTTGGTAAGTAAATACTACAAAAAGTTTCTTTTAAATACACGTAGCAGTTTTAATCCTCTAGTTTTATCAACGTTATCAGATTGCCAGGCAGCCTGAAAGACTTTTTAATTAAAACATTAACACAGAATCGATTCATTTTCTTTTACTTTCTGAATAATATCAATGCTACTTTTCATGAAATATTTTCCAGCTCTCTTTGTTTTAGTAATATGCAATGTTCAAACCTACAAATGTCTTTCATCAGAGTTTTCATATGATTTCAAAGGGATGTCAATTTCACCATGCTTTCTATTCTATATAATAAGAAAATGGCAATAGTTAATGTACAGTTAAAGTACAGACATGTAAGGCTACAAAATTCTTTAACCTGCTTGTATCTGAAATTGTTACAATTCAATTTTAAAACAATCACAACGTCTTATCTTTTGCATAGTCTGTTAAAAATAAATAAGGCAATATTTTTCTTTTCCCTCCAATAATCTCCGAACGATGATGAATATCAGACTTTTTTTTAATCGTACTTCAGGAAAACATCTTGATAAGATTCAAGAATAATTACTTTTTGCCATCTGGTAGCTTGTTTACAGAAATTACAATAAATAATATTAGGAATAAAATGCCTTTAACTTGAACACTAAAGGACTGAAAGACTGAAACATAAATTTTACAAAGATGACTTAGGAGACTT